GGGGGCTTTCTCACTTTCCCTCTTTGTCTCTGGTAAGCTCATGTGCCCTCTGGCAAATTTAAAAATTAAATAAAGGAAAAAGCATATCCTGAATGCTGTACTCTACTACCTGTAACGTGCCATCATATTTTCTAATTTTTTTTCTTAAAATTATATATATTTTTTCCAGTGACTGAGTACCAGAACTAGTTGTTTCTCAATTTATATGTTTCCCCCCGTCCTGCACGTTCTTTTCTCCAAGTTATATTTATTAATTATAGCCAGACACTGAGACATGACCCACATTGTTTTGGGGGCTATTTTATGGTTCAGTAGAAAATGATCTGTCATAACAGATGTACTTGTTTTAACACCATCTAGAGATGAATTTAAATAGCTCTAAATATCAATGAGAGTTATTTCTGTTTCTTCAGATTCTTAGTGTTCAGTGTATTCACCTGGAGAGTCTTGGGAAAGAACTGAAAGACGATCTGTAATAAGTAAATTGGGACTGAGGGTACACACTGAGAGAGTTAGATAATGGAAGATGGAAGGTCCTGATTTCTCTAATATGTTTCAGGTTTTGTAAAGGCTCTTTCGTTGTGCTCTTAGGAGAGTAGAAAATTATTACCAAAACTCAGACAAGGGAAAAGGTACCAAAATTAAATGAAGAAAGTAAGATGCAGGCAGAAAACCGTGTGTGTTTCAAAGTGAACACAGATTTCATCTTCCATCGACAACGTGATTGGGTTAAAGCTGCCAGAGGGCCAGTATACTTGCCAGAAGAGATAGAAGGAAAGTGAAGCACCCCCCGTGGGGCACGGTCAAGTCACAGTCACTTCTCTATGTCTCCCTCCTTTCTGGTTTTTGGCACACATGCTCAGTGCCCAGTGTTTCTTAAGCCACTGGGTCTCACATTCAAGTCTTGCAGTAAGCCATGTAGAATCCAGCTGCCTTAACCACCACACCACTGGAGGGCCCAGCTTTCTTTGTAATTATGAAAAAAAACTTGCTCCTGATCACTTCAAACATTAACTTCTGCTGAGAAATATCTTTTATAAACCAGCCTTAGAGAAGTCAAAGCAGAAGGAAAGTTAATTTTTAGTTCCTTTCTAGAAAAGCTGTTTTATTGGGCACCTTAATCCATCAGGAGGGTTTATCAGTGCTTGCAAATGCCAAATCTTTGATTTGATCCTCTCCTAAGACTGAATTCTACTCAGTTGTTTTACTGTAAAGACCTCAGTTTTACCTTAAGCACATGCCTCTTTTTTATTTTTAGAGAGGTTTTTACTATAGGATGCAAGTGTTTGCTGAAGAGACAGAGAGAGACAGAAACAGAAAGCAAGAAGTCACACCCCCACCTCAATCCCTTCTCCTCCAGTCTCCTCTCGGGATTTTGAGCACACACAAGAGCCCAGCGTGAGTTTCAAGCTACCTGGTCCAGGACTTGAAATGCGATTGGCTACGTGGGAATCCAGTGACGTAACCATTACGCCATCTGCTGCACCTGTCTCTTTTAACTCTACATATCCCTGGTTTTCTGGACCCCTTTTACTCTTGATTATAAACTGATCAATTCATTTCTCTATTCCTCCTTTTCATATTATAATTTATGCACAACTAACAGTAACAAACGCACATGTAGCAGTCCATTTTCCCACTAGAGCTACTAGCTTTGTAGAATCCTGCCTACCTTCTAATGTCACTGGGTAGGACTGTCACTGCTGATTTCCCCACTGCATGGGTTGCTGACCTTTTAGCCTCTGATGCCTATTTTCTTGCCTTCTTCCACCCAGCTCCTGAGCCTTTGCCATATATTTGGAGCTTTTTGCTAAGACAGCACCCCACTTCTGGGTTCCATCTGTATTGGCTAAAATTAGATTATGCTATGGTAGTAAAAACAAACAAACAAAAACAAAGTGAAACAAACACAACAAGATCTCAGTGGCTTCCCTGTAGATCATTTGGGGACCTAGGCTGATGGCAGCCTTCACCTTGGAGGTTGCTGCTGGTCACTGTGCCAGAGGGAAGAGAAGGCTGAGAGTCTCGTACTGGTTAGCAGGTGCCTGGCTTTCCACAGGTCATGTTTCATGCTGCGCTGGCTATGAAGTGTGAAATTGTTTAATGTATAAAGATATGTGATTGTAAGGATAATTGAGCTTAAATTATTTCGGGTGCTGTTTGTCATATGGAAACAGAAAGACCATGAACTTTGGAGTAAGACAGGCCTGGGGTTAAACACACTCTGTCATCAAATAGAAATGTGACCACGATAAATGTGTACACGAATTATCTTTCTCTGAGCCACAGTTTTCTCATTTACAAATACCAAAAATATATAAATATATCTACTCATGGCAAATAAAACACAGTGACATTTATCACTGGTCCTTTCTGAAATTCCACTAAAATGAAATTTTAAAAGAGTAAATCCACAAGAACAAAGAAAATAGGAGACAAAATGAAATAGAAAACAGTAGCTAAAGAATGCTAGAAATAGTCATTGAATTACACAGAGTCATCGTAAGCAGTAAACACTGATTTTTTTTTTTTTTTTTTGGAGAGGTTTTTGCTATAGGGCACGTGCACTCGCCAGACAGACAGAGACAGAGAGACAGAAAGCGAGAAATCACCCCCCAGGGGGGATGAACACGACGCCATCCCTTCTCCTCCATTCTCCTCTCGGGATCTTGGGCATGCACTCACACGCACCCGGCGTGAATTTTAAGCCACCAGGTTCGGGACGGGAACCGCAGTCGACTACGTGGGCGTCCAGCGACATAGCCATTATGCTAACTGCTGGTCCCTAGTAAACACTCATTTTTTAAAAGTTGTGGTAAAACTATATTGGGAAGATGAGGGGGGATGATAGGAACAATAAAATGAGAAAACTATAGAGGAAGACAAGAGGTAATACCTAAAATTGGAGGAAAAAAACTGAAGAAAAATATGTCAAAATGTAGAAGAACGTACCAGAAGGGGAAAACTAAATTAAGCATCACTGCCTCTGGGGATTGGGACTCAGATGAATTGGAGTAGGGCCAATATGTTTGACTTTTAAAACTGTGGGTTTTTTTTTTTGTTTGTTTGTTTTTTTTTAATGACAACTTTGATGAAAAAAAAAAAAAAAACCTTACCACTCAACCTCAGGCCCAGCCACTATTATAGTGGTTGAGGTAACTGGATCCTACATGCCCAACTGTGCTGTTTGAATCCCAGACCCAGCAACTTTAACAATGCTCCAGGTGCGTGTGTGTGCGTGCCCGAAGTCCAGAGAGGAGAGTGGAGGAGAAGGGATTGTGGCATGGCTAAACCCCTGGGGAAGGTGATTTCTCACTTTATCTCTCTCCATCTCTGTGTCTCTCTTTCTCTTGTGCTCTGTGTCTTTCTCAGCTGAGCTTACATGCCCTATAACAAAAAACAACTAAATAAATTAATTAAATAAAATGAAGTTTCAAAATCAGCCCAAGGTCAGCCAGTGACATGGTGGTTGGGATGACTGGATCCCACATGGGCTACTATAGAGTTTGGGTCCCAGATCTGGTGACTTGAAAAACACGCCAGGCACATGCATGCGTGCCCAAAATCCCAAGAGGCCAGTGGAGGAGAAGGGTTGTAGCATGATTATCCCCACTGGAGGGTGCTTTTTTTTTTTTTTTTTGGAGAGGTTTTCACTATAGGGCGCGTGCGCTCGCCAGACAGACAGAGACAGACATAGAGACAGAAAGCGAGAAATCACCCCCCCAGAGGGATGGTCACGCCGCAATCCCTTTTCCTCCATTCTCCTCTCAGGATCTTGGGCACGCACACACATGCTCCTGGCGTGAGTTTTAGGCCACCGGGTCCGGGACACGAACCGCGGTTGACTACAGGGGAGTCCAGCGACATAGCCATTACGCTAACTGCTGGTTCTCAACTTTTTCACTTTCTCTTTTTGTCTGTCTTTGGTGGACACATGTGTCCTATAGCAAAATTAAAAAACAGAAACACAAAACAAAGTTTTATGGTGGGGACTAAACAAATCATGAAGAATAAAAACTTTTTAGTGCCTGTGCACGTAGAAGGCATTCAGTAAATATTAGCTTCCTTCCTTTTGTCAACTAGGTAGGGTTTTGTGCTTGATAATACTCATATGACTCAGAGTTTAGGTGGTTGGCTAAACAGCAATGTCAAGTATGTCACAAAGCAAATCGTGTGCCCTTCTAATCTTTTTCTTTTAAAATGGATGGTTTTATTTTTCTTGGAACCATAACAACCTATGGTTGCTCTTTCTTAGAATTTGGACTTCTGTGCAACTGACAGATGAAAAATCACCTAGTTACTGATTTGATCTAGTGAGCTGTGTGTGGAATCAATGTATAAGAACTTAGCGACTTTGAAGTTACCTTAATAAACCTGAAAACAGTGATATCTGTACCTAGATAATCAATGACTTGGGGCCAGGGACATTGCTCTCTCCCCCACCATTATGTCAGCTAGCTGCTTCCTTGCCATGGTTCACAGTGCCTGTCCCACCACCTTGTGTTCTGGGAACTCTCACTGTAGTGGGTGATGGTGACTGAGGCTGAAAGGAAGCCAGCCAGGATAAAGCACTTGTGTTCCATACGTGGCATGTGTTCTATATGAGCAGACTGTACACGCCTGGTGGGCGGAGGCCGTGTATTCTGTCAGTGTGCTCTGTAGCATCCAGGGTAACACAGGCTAGACTGTGGGAGTTGTGTACTTATTCACCAAGTATCTACTGTGTGCGAGGCACTGTGCTAATTTCCGCGGCTGCCGTGGTGAACTGGACAGACATGGCTCTTGCTGTCACAGAATTGACATTCTCACGGAAAATGTTAGTGTCTTTGTGTAAGCCAGTAAGATGATGACCCATTCGGAACCATTTAAGCAGAATAAAACATTGTATGTATAAAGAGTTTCATCATTTTAAGCTGTTTGTTGTGATTTAAATGCTTTCTATAAGAAGGAGATAGTGGTATCTGATTGTTTTTTCCCCTTTGCTTTTCTTTGTAGATAAGATGCTCCAAGTCCCTGGCAGCTCTCTAAAGAAGAAAAGTCACTAGTGCTCTGCTCTTGCCATAATACCAAACCTTTCTGACTAACGCTTTGGTGCTGCAACACTGGAAGAATTGTAACAGGTTCCAGGAATTTTTTTTTTTTTTCATTTGAGTGATTCTTTGGGAATAGAAAAAAGATTTGAGTCTTTAATAATCACCTTGTTTTAAAGCTATTTCTTACTGCTTAATTAATCGGGCCACTTACCAATGAGCCACACAGCCAGTCCGTGCCAGGAGCTGGTTGAAAACTGTGCTGTGCATGTAGCAGGGATGGCACAAGAAGACAGCCGTCGTGGTCAAGTGCCATCCACCTTTTATCATGGTGCCAACCAGGAGCTCGACCTGTCCACCAAAGTGTACAAAAGGGAATCAGGAAGTCCTTACTCTGTGTTAGTGGACACCAAGATGAGCAAGCCGCACCTGCATGAAGCAGAGGAACAGCCGTATTTCAGGGAGACAAGAGCAGTGTCTGACGTGCATGCCGTGAAGGAAGACCGGGAGAATTCTGACGACACGGAAGAGGAGGAGGAAGAAGTCTCTTACAAAAGGGAGCAGATCATAGTGGAGGTAAACCTTAATAATCAAACATTAAATGTATCTAAAGGGGAAAAGGGTGTCTCTTCTCAGTCCAAAGAGACTCCTGTTCTTAAGACAAGCAGTGAGGAGGAAGAGGAAGAGAGTGAGGAAGAGGCCACAGATGACAGCAATGACTATGGAGAGAACGAAAGGCAGAAGAAAAAGGCGAAGATAGTGGAGAAAGTCAGCGTCGCACAGAGGAGGACCAGGAGAGCTGCCTCTGTTGCCGCAGCTGCCACTTCCCCTCCTCCCAGAACTACGAGGGGCCGTAGGAAGAGTGTAGAGCCACCTAAGCGTAAGAAGCGGGCCACAAAGGAGCCCAAAGCACCAGTCCAGAAAGCTAAGTGTGAAGAGAAAGAGACTCTGACCTGTGAGAAGTGCCCCAGGGTGTTTAATACTCGCTGGTACCTGGAGAAGCACATGAACGTTACTCATAGGCGCATGCAGATTTGTGATAAATGTGGCAAGAAGTTTGTCCTGGAAAGTGAGCTGTCCCTTCACCAGCAAACAGACTGTGAAAAAAACATTCAGGTAGGTTTCATCACCAAGAGGGCAAACTTTCCAGGATAGAACCTGTTCAGATCCATCTGGTATCTGCCCAAGAGAATAAATACAGTAGAGGCCGAAGGGACAGATTTCACCAATTTATCGTTTTAAAAGCTCCTGCTTTGGTCTTTGCCAAACTGAGGCGTAACACTCTGTTTCCAATGCATTAAATGTAACTGACGCTGGACTAGTGGGAGCCCAGGCACACTGGAAGGGGGATCTGTTAGAGATGCTTGACCAGGAGGGAAAGTCAACACCGACTTGGCACTAAGAGTCACTGTTGTAGGACCTGTAATGTAATTCATTCTGGCATCTTCTCTGTCAAGGTGGGAGATACTGAGTAAAGGTCAGGACTAGAGAAAGGTTCCTTTTGTAGGCTTACAAGGATGCCAGATTCTAGTGCAGCCGATGGGGACAGAAACCAGAATGACTCAGACCGGTGGACATGGAAGATCTCCAGGAGTGAGTTTGCTTTTACCAGTGGACAGATGACAACACTAAATTTTTCAAGAGGCTGAGCTGATGGGAATATGCAAACTTTAAACAGAGGCTGAGATGATTGAAAATGTTGCCCAGCTGACAGTGAGGTTGTGTGATGCCACTATGCAGTGTTGTTAAAACTGACAAGACATGGTATCAGACCGGCCGGTGTCTTGAAAGGACTGTGTTGTGATAGGTTAAGAGATGTGCTAATTATATTGTGTTGAGTGGATTCAGCTGTATTGGTTTACACACGTGAGTGTATATTAATGAATATTCATAAAAGGTAAGTCCATTTAATGTTTCCATAAAGTATATAAAATAGAAATACTTTGTATCATATATAAGCTAACCTTCTATTTAAAATTGTTTTGTTCTGGTGTGTTTTTTGGAGTGCTGCTCATGTTGGTAATCACCTCGAAGCTTTACTCTGCCTTTATTGCTTTTAATCAAAACTGAGATGATTGCTTTACTTTAAAGAAGCTTTTGAAAAATATCAATTACTGGTGCTAAAAGTTCACTGCCTTGTGATTCAGCGATGTGACTTGATTTCTGACGTGCTGGGTAGATAAAGGACTGAGTCCTGGCTCCCGTCTCCTCCAGTAACTGGCAGTGCCCTCACTGGGGTAGGAATTTATTGCAGCCGGTCATGCCGAAGGAGTGTGATGCAGTGCTGCACTCTAGGGGTCAGACTGGGATTCCTAATGATCTGGCACAGAAAAGGTGTTCCTTGATCTTTATATGCAGTATTTTTCTTCATTTAAGTTTGTTCTGTTAAGTTACAGAAAAGAAAACATTTAGAAGTCTTTTTTGGTGACATTCCTCATTATTCCTCATCCCAATATGTCTAAACTTGTGTTTAGGTTTTGTGGATTCTGTTAAATGAACTCTCTTTATATTCCTAAAGAACACTGTGCGTCATTCTTACATACAGATCCTAATGATCCTGATGACCTGGTAACAAGTGAAAATTCAAACACTGCCTTGCAAAATGACCTGTAGGGGACAGTCCTTTTCTAACGCAGTGTCCAGTCAGAGTCCTATCTTTCAAATCCTCTTGGAGTTACTTTCTGAAGTAACGATGGTGTTCAGAGATCTTTCTTTATAATACATAGGGACTGAGTATCCTTTATTAGGGATCAGAAGTGTTTTAGATTTTGGATTTTTTCCAGCTTTGGAATATTTGCATATGAAGATGAGATATTGCACCAAAACCTAACTATGAAATTCATATATATCTTATACACATATCCTGAAAGTAATTTTATACACTGTTTGTGTTGCAGCATTTTGACTATGACTTATTACATGATGTCAGATGTGGGATTTTCTACTTGTGGCATCATGTCAGCATTTAAAAAGTTTTGGATTTTGGAGCATCTTGGATTACAGGTTTTTGAATTGGGGATGCTCAGCCTGTACTGACTTGTTCCCTTAAATATCCCAGAGTGAAGATTACCAAGAACTTTCTGAAATTGTTTTGCTTTAACCAGAAATATTTTTATATACTAAATGCCTAATATTCCAAAAGACTAGGCAGCGTGGCATATTTCCTGCAGAGAGACATGTCTGAGCATGTCAGAGAGACATGGAACTGGGTGATAGCAGAAAAGGGAAAACAGTACTGTCAGTTTAGAGGCTATATTAAATTCTGCTAGAAGGAAATGTTTAATTAGTCATTTGGGAAAATATAGTAAAACCTCGGTGTTTTCTTTTAATGAAGGCTGCCAATGCATCTTTTAAGCTTTAACATTAATATATATGTTATTTTATCTTGTTTTTCCTTATGCCAATTTAAAATTAATTTGTATTTCCTTATAAACACATGGTGACCTATATATAGGAGGCAACTGCTCTTGGTAATCCATATATTTAAAAAACAAAACAAAACAGAACTTGAATAGGTACAATACTACCTTGGTAATAGAGTCATTTCCTCTATATGAGTAGAACTTTCCACACCGTCTTGTCTTAGTTTTGCCATTGTTTTCATACTCCCAAAGGGTCTCTAAAAGGTGCATCTTGGTAATGTTACATGCAGATGTTGGTGTGGGTTCTGCACTCTGGAGGACGAGTCTCTGTGTGGATTCTGGCCTTGTGCCGAATCTAAAGCACATCTATCTCATCTATCACTAGTCCAGTACGGCTTTCTGCAAGCCTGCAAGAGTAAAGATTATTTCTATTTATCCTGCTCAGTGCGTTTCCTGTAACAAATCATTCAAGAAACTCTGGTCCCTTCATGAACATATCAAAATCGTCCACGGATATGCAGAAAAGAAATTTTCCTGTGAAATTTGTGAGAAGAAGTTCTATACCATGGCTCATGTGCGGAAACACATGGTTGGTAAGTTTTTTCTGCTTCCTCACTCTCACACCTATAATTTTCCCTTGCTCTTCGGTGTGCTTTACATCTTGATTGGGCAGGATGTGTGAAACCAACTTACTCAGTTTTGACCTGTTGAAACTGAGTGCAACATGTCTTCAATAGGCATTGCCAAATTGGATGGTGCCATCTCCCACACCCAGGTTTCTTTTCAACATTGTTACTTATTTTTCTTTTTGGAATGTTACTGTTAAAGCCTTACAAATTAAAGTGTAGAAAATTAAGATGACATAATTGCATTACAGTAGGACATCTGTCTTTCCAGCTTGGGATTTTTGGTGGACTTGTTTTGAGTATGAGTACGTTCTGTGTTGCAGCACACACGAAAGACATGCCGTTTACATGTGAAACCTGTGGAAAGTCATTCAAACGCAGCATGTCACTCAAAGTGCATTCCTTGCAGCATTCTGGAGAGAAGCCCTTCAGATGCGAGGTAAGGAACATGCATCCTACATGCCCAGGCCTGGGGCTAGACCTGTGTACAGTGCAGCCAAGAGAGAGAGAGAGAGATAGAGAGAGACAGAGAGGGAGAGGTGTGCGCTGGAGTCGAGCAAGGCACAGAGCTGCATCTTTAGACACGTGCCCTGAGCTTTGTGTGTCCTCTCACTGCTAGGGAGAGAAATATCGTCTTAGACTAGATTAACATGGGAAAAACACATAATGATTTATTTTTCTTTTCCCCATAATTCAGAGAAGTTGAGTGTACTTCAGTGGTAATTGTTTGAGAAAGTTGCCTTTATTAGTAACTCAGCTGCAAAAATATAGCAAGGCAAAACAGCTGACACAAGCAGCTTCTATTTTGAATATGAAAAGTAAGCCTAACGCTGGAGACTACGTTAGGGTGGGCTCCAGTAAAGCTTCTGTGCTTGGCATTCAAATATCCCCACTGTGTCCAATGCAGAACTGTGACGAAAGGTTTCAGTACAAGTACCAGCTGCGCTCCCACATGAGCATCCACATCGGGCACAAGCAGTTCATGTGCCAGTGGTGTGGCAAGGACTTCAACATGAAGCAGTACTTCGACGAGCACATGAAGACACACACTGGTAAGACTGCATTGGGAAAGGAACATATCTGTCTCGAGCACTTGTTGATGATCATTGGCAGGGGGAGGGTCTTTTTTAAAAATTTAAATTTAAACTGCAAATCTCCATTGTAAGAGAAAATCACACTTTAAATAAGCCTGGTATAGAACTACTGTATAATCTAGCAATTTCACTCCTGAATATCTACCCAAAAGATATGAGAACGCTCAGTCAGAAAAGTACTTGTGTATCTATATTTATTGCAGCATTATTCACAATTGCTAGGACATGAATCTAACCCAGTCATCCATGGGCAGATGAGTGGATTGGGGGGATGTGGTGCATGTACTCTATGGAATACTACTTAGCCATACAAATCAAGAAGATTGTAGCATTTGATAGAAAGTGAATGAATACAGAGGATTTGCTGCTGAGTAAAGCAAGCCAGGGTATGAGAGAGAGACATTGTATGTCTCCCCTTAGCATATACCAACCATCCGTGCTCTATCGCAGAAATGGAAAGACTAGAGGATATAGAATCATGGAAAATGGTTAGATACACTGAAGCCAATGTGGGAAAAGGGGGAGAGAAGGGGGAGAGAATGAGGAAGGAAATTAAGGAGAAAAATAGAGGCAAGGCGTTTATTGGAAACAGAAACGGATTAGTATCTGTTGATGATAACATGTATAGTATCCTGAACTGGGCTATCATGAAGTGTATTCACATTGGGTAAATTCACTTTACAAGTTAAGTGTTATATACTGATCAAGTGTATAAAATAAATTAAAATAGTGGGCCCAGCAGTTGGCGTAATGGCTATGTAGCTGGAATCTCATGTAGTCGACCGCGGTTCAAGTCTTGGACCCAGTGGCTTAAACTTATACCGGATGTGCATGTATGCGTGCCCAAGATCCTGAGAGGAGAATGGAGGAGAAGGGATTGCAGCATGGCCATCCTCACCTAGGGGGTGATTTCTCACTTTGTGTCTCTGTCTTTCTGGCAAGCGCATGCACCCTATAGCACAAACTTCTCAAAAAATTAAAATTAAACAAAAATAAACCTGGTATATAAAAATGCAGATTTATAGTACTGAAAAATTAGACTTTCATAATTTTATTTATTTTAAAAAGGATTTTTTTGGAGTGCCTTTTAACTGCAGATTCTTTTAAGATAATGAGTTATTGGTGCCAGCAGGTGGAATAGTGGTTGAGGCACTGGACTCCTACATGGCCGACCATGGTTCGAGTCCCAAATCTGGTGGCTTGAAAATCACACCAGGCGTGAGTGCCCAAAATCCTGAGAGGAGAATGGAGGATAAGGGATTATGGTGTGGCTATCCCCTTTGGGGGTGATTTCTCACTTTCCCTCTATCTCTCTCTCTCTCTATATCTCTCTCTCTCTTCCTAGCAAGTACACATGCCGTATCATAAAAACCTTAAAAAAAAAAAAAAAAAAACATAATGGGTTTTTTACTTGGGGTTGAGAAACCTATGAAATAAAAGTTGTTTAAAAAGTATAAAAGTTGTTTGCAACTATGTTGTTATAAGGAAAGGCTTTGGGAACTTGAAAAGATGGAGGGCCCTGACTACTTTAAAAGAACATCCTCTCATTCTTAAACTTTGATTGGATTTAATTTATTAAAATTCGCTACTTTTCAAGAACATATATGTTAAGTGAGGTTAAATGACCTTCTGACCACTGTGTGTTTTTAGAGGCATATGCTCTTAATTCTAATTGATGGATTCGAGTCTTGTAAGCATTTAATTATCCACTTCCCAGGGCACCAGCCAAAATAATAGCTACCCATGCAAACACTGTCGTATCTCAGTCTGAATTTGATGCCCTGGGATTAGCCATCTTTGCACAAACTAAAGAGCATGAAACATTTTTTAGGTTTCTAAATAAAAATCTAATCACAGGGTTCTGGGTTCTGTTAGTCTGCAGAGCAGCAGAGTTACAGAGAGCCACAAGAGATTGCCTTGCTTAGCCTGCTGTTCTTTTCACTTAGCTAGTAGTGAGGAGAGTCCACCATGCCTGAGTCTCTGTAATTCCCATTTCTCTGTTGAAATCCAAAGCAAAATGCCTACTTGATGGGTTACTCAGTCAGAGCACAGCACCCTTGGAATTCAAGGATTAGGCTAGATGAAGAATCATGAGATGAGGGAACCAGCAGTTAGCGTAATGGCTATGTCACTGGACTCCCACGTAGTCGACTGCGGTTCGCATCCCGCACCCAGTGGCTTAAAACTCACGCCGGGCACTTGTGCATGCGTGCCCAAGATCCCAAGAAGAGAATGGAGGAGAAGGGATTGCGGCGTGACCATCCCCCCGGGGGGTGATTTCTCGCTTTCTGTCTCTCTGTCTCTCTCTGTCTGTCTGGCGAGCGCACGTGCCCTATAGTGAAAAAAGAAAAAACCTCTCCAAAAAAAAAAAAAAAAAGAATCATGAGATGAATGTAATTAGTTAAATTAGACCTCAAGAGGTAGTGACCTTTGGAGACATAATCCAAGTGAATAGCAGGATGTATCAGAGTATTAACAGAGTATTTATTAACAGAGTATTGACAGAGTATTTAACAGATTATTCTCTTAATTTTTTTTTTCAAGATAAGAGCATGCATGTGCACACGAGAGTGACAGAGAGAGAGAGGGAGGGGGAGAGAGAGATAAGCACTCTCATGGGTCTGGTCACATTGTGGTCCCCTTCCTACAGTCCTCCAGCCCGTAGGACCTTGGGCACTCATGTGGGCTATTACCTGTATTTTCCAGGTGGGGAAATTAAGGCTCAGAAGCTAAGAAACCTGTCTAAGGCAGTCTGACTCCAGAACCACACACACTTAATGATTCAGATGTATTTAATATAACAAGTAATCAAATAGAGGGGTGCACAGGAATTTGCGGGTGTTAAAAGCACTGTTCTGGGTTCTGGTTCTCAGCTTCCAGGATGTGCAGTATACTCATGCAGATCAGCATCCGAGGGAGTACTGTGTGCTTGATAGTTGTGAATGATAATATAAGTAAAATTGCTATTTTATTCACCTGCAGTGAAAAGGCTGAGTGGCAAGTAGTTCAGAACGCTCAATGTTCTTTGCCTAAGAAAAATGTATGTTAGAAGCTAAATTATAATCAGATGATCAGGGACAAGGATTTAGAGCAAAGGAAGGTAATCGAATAATCTTAATTCCAAGTATCATACTTCATTGAATCCAGGAAGCTTAATTTATGTATTGCTAAGAAAATGTTGCAAATTAAATAATGACATGCTGTTGATTGTAAGATGTATGTGGCAATTTCAGAGATGTTCAAATGTGGGAGAAATGCGGGCCTTACTGTTCTGTTTTATTGCAAGGTGTGTGTGCTCACCAGAGGCAGAACACACCCAAGAGCAAGCACCCTCTAATGAGGTGTGGTCTCGCTGTAACCCTTTTTCTCTCATTTTGCCATCTCATCAGGACTTTGGATATATGCATATACACATGTGACTTGGCATGGTTTTCGATCTCTTGGGACTGGGAGTCAGACTATGGTCAGCAAAGTAAGAGTTGACTCTGAAAACACAGTGCCTACTCACTACACTGCAGTGCCAGCCTGAGATGCAGGTCTTAGAATTAGCAAATATTTGACCAGCTCATGGCCTGATGGCTACAGGAGCTGGATTCTACAGGGCTGACTGCATGGTTCAAGTCCCAGACCCAGCAACTTAGAAAACATGCCATGTACATACGTGTGTGTGCTCAAAATCCTGAGAGGAGGGAGAAATGAAGGAGAGGGGATTACAGCATGACCATTCCTCATGAGGTGGGTGCTTTCTCACTTTCCCTCTCTCTTCCCATCTCTCTACAATGAGCACATGCGCCCTCTGGCAAATCAGAAAATTAAAAGAATTAACAAATGTTTGTTTATACATTTTTATTAAGAATTGGGAACCAGCAGTTAGCGTAATGGCTATGTCACTGGATTCCCACGTAGTCGACCGCGGTTCATGTCCCGGACCCGGTGGCTTAAAACTCACGCCGGGCGTGTGTGCGTGCGTGCCCAAGATCCCGAGAGGAGAATGGAGGAGAAGGGATTGCGGCGTGACCATCCCCCCGGGGGGTGATTTCTCGCTTTCTGTCTCTATGTCTCTCTCTGTCTGTCTGGCGAGCGCACGCGCCCTACAGTGAAAATCTCTCAAAAAAAAATAAGAATCTACTCATTGGGGCTATTGCGGTGAGCAAGACTGAAATAGTCTTAAGGTCCACAGAGCTCCAGCAGGCTGAAAGATACACAGCCAGGGCCTAAGAGACGCTCGGTGTGAGAGGAAAAGAAGTTGGGCATGGGGCAGGACAATGAGTGTGATAAGACATGATAATGGAGGACAGTAAGGAGGTACAGATCACAAAGAACTCTGGAAGCCGTGAAGAAAGTTTGAACTTTGAGGACAGTATGGCATATATGCTCACTGGAGAGGAAAGAGACAGAGAAAGAGAGAAAGTGAGAAATTTCCTCAATTTCCTCCCCGGAGGCAGGTGGTCACACCACAGTCCCCTCTCTATTCTCCTCTTAGGATTTTGGGCACACATGCACACTCATCCAGCACGATGTTCAGGCCACCAGGTCCAGGACTTGAACTACGGTCAGCCATGTGGGAATCCAGCCACCTTAACCACCTTGCCACCAGCTGCCCCTGTTCTTGAATGTTTGTTTGTTTTATTATTTATTTCTTTTTCTTTTTTTTTTTTTTAAAGAGAGATTTTTGCTATAGGGCACATGCACTCTCTGGAGAGATAGAAAGCAAGAAATCACCTCCCCGGCTGGGCAAGGCAGGTGGCAGGGAGGATGGCCACACAGCAGTCCCCTGTCTTTCATTCTCCTCTCAGGATTTTGGGTTCACATGCACACGTGCCTGGCCTAAGTTTTAAGCCACTGGGTCCAGGACTCAAACCACAGCAACTATGTGGGAGTCCAGCAACGTAACCATTACGCCATCTGCTGGTCCCTGTTCTTGAACAGCCTGTTCTTGAATAGTTTTAACCAGAGAGTAACCCAGCTATTTGCAAGTTCACTGTAGCTAGTGTGGAGAGTGGCCTGGAGGATGGGGAGCAGGAGTAGAAATGCAAACAATAGACAAGGTAGAGGTGAATGAACTTTGCAATTGATTGGATATTGGCAGGAGGGAGGGTCAAGGATTAGTCCTGATTGGGAACTCCTATACTGTTTGTCAAGATGGAGAATAATGAAGGGAAGAGCAGGTTTGCTAGGTAGGACAGTGGGACAGTCAAATGGATATATCTAAAAAAAAGGGGGAGCCGGCAGGTGGTGTAGTAGCCGAGGCACTGTACTCTCACATAGCTGATTGTGGTTCAAGTCCCAGACCTGGTGGCTTGCTTTCTCACTTTCCCTCTTTCTCTGTCTCTCTCTGGTCAAATTAAAAAATAATAATAAATAAAAGTAAATAATTCTTTTTAAAAATGGGGATATCTAGTAAGCAGTCTGGAAAAATGAGCTTAAAGCTCAAGGAAGAAATTTAGGTTAGATATGTAAACACATGGATTTCTGACTCGAACCAAAGATGTTCACGCTAAGCTAGCTGGTATGCTTGTGGTATTGGCCATGTTACCCTTTCCTTTGCACAGGCTCTGTAGCAAAACTCTCTCTCAAAAAAAAAAAAAAAAAAGAAATGCAGGACCAGAGGTAGCATAGTGGTTAAAGGCACTGGACTCCCACATGGCCAATCACGGTTCAAGTCCTGGACCTAGTGGCTTGATTTCTCACTTTCCCTTTCTCTCTGTCTCTCTCTGGTCAAATTAAAATAATAACAACAAATAAAGTTAAATAATTCTTTAAAAACAAATGCATATCGAGGTGCAGAGTGCTGCATTTACATGACAAGCGCATAGATGCTGCAGCCAGACTGTGCAGCTTTGCATTCTAACTCTCCCCTGGTATGTAACGTTGAGCAAGTCTCTTAATTTCCTCCTCAGTAAAATAAGGATGATAATACACTGACCTACTACAGTCACTGTGAGGACCACCGAAGTGATCGGGGCAAGGCATCTGCACAGTAGGACCCCACCCCATCAGAATGAGGGGAGCCACAGGACCGAGGGGCACTCCCATAGCGGGAGTACATGTAAACATACAACCACACGGGACCAGCAAATGGCATGATGGTTACCTCGCTGGACTCTCACGTAGTCGACTGTCGTTTGAGTCCCAGAATCAGCGTCTTTAAACTCATGCCAGGCATGTGTGCATGTGTGCCCAAAATCCCGAGTGGAGAATAGAAGAGAAGGGATTCTTGGTCATCCCCCTGGAGAGTGATTTCTCACTTTCTGTCTCTGTCTGTCTCTCTGTCTCTCAGGCAAGCACACATGCCCTACAGCAAAAAATCTCTCGACAAAAAAGATACAGATGTCTACACTGGGAATTGTTACAGGAATGGACACACATAGCATGTGGGCTCCGAGGCGTGCACTGATACTCCACACCTCACCTCCACATTCCATGCGAAATGGTTACTGGACCAGTATTCAAAATCGTTACTCTCTCTAGCCTGGGTAGAGAAGCAGACAGATGTAGTGTGGGACTAAGCAGTAAGTCCAAAGGAAAGTTAGGAAGCTTAAAAAATTAAGCCCTCAGAACCCACACCTAATTTGCTCTCTAAGTGCCATTAGAAATATGAGACTCTGAGCCAGCCATGTGGCATGTTGGTTAAGGCAGCTGGATCCCACATGGCCGACCACACAGTTTGAATCCCAGACCTGGCAGTTTGAAAAACGTACCAGGTGCATGCACATGTGTATGCATACCCGAAATACTAGAGGAGAAGGAATTGCAGCGTGGTCATCTCCCTGGGGAGTAATTTGTCTCTCTCTCTCTCTCTCTCTGTCTCTGGTGAGCACTCATACGCTATAGCAAACATAAGGTAAAGAAAGAAATAGGGGATCCTGTTTCCTTTTTGAGATGCTGGCCAAGCCCTCCCACCCCTCCTTACACCCACAGGCCTTTGTAAATGGGGTAGGAGCATTTCGTTTGTCAGCATCTCACGGGGACATCTA